ATGTTCAAATTGGCTTAATTAATATTATCTTTTAAAAGGTATATAACCATAAATTAAATTAAATTAAATTTTAATTTTTGATGATATCACCAATAAAAATAGCAAAAGTGTTTTTGCCTATTACTATATTATTTCAAAAAAAAAAAAATTACTTTCCTTCTTGGCGAAATTCATCAATTTCCCTCTCTATTGTTTTTTCTTTTGCTTATTTCCTCCGGTTTTAGAACCACAATTTGATCGTGGCCAATAGCATTTGATTTTTTTTTCCTTTCTTTTAAGATTCTACAAAATAAATAATTAACTTTATCTCTTAGTTTTTGAATGATTACTTTCCTAACCATTTTCTATCTTGATAAATTATATATGAGAGTAAACTATTCTCATTTTAATCATATCTGTTCCTAAATCTTTTGAAAATTTTTAATTAATTGGCTATATTTTAGATTTCAAATTTTAAAAGTGATTCTTAAAAGATATAATACTATTATGAAATAAAAAWTTTTTTTTGACACACTCTCATTAATTTTTAAAGAAATGTGAATATCCTCCTACATATATCTTCAATTTTGGTACTAAAACATGATTCAAAATTTGTATGTTCAGGTGTGTGGTTAATATTTTAATAATAGTAACATCATAGATTCACCGTTTAGGCGAGATCATAATTTCTAATAAAAAAAAGAAAAAGAAAAAAAAAAGAAGAAGGCAAGAACCTAAGTGTAAATAAAAACGAATAAATAAATAAGAAAAAAATTAAAATACTATTTTAGTCTCTATTTTTTATTTTGGTTCATTTTAGTGTCAATACTTTCAAAATATTAATTATTCAGATCCCTACTTTCATGTTTTGTTCATTTTAATCATTGTACTTTCAAAACATATATTTTAGTCTATGTATTTTTAGAAAGTAACCAATAATTTGGTCTCTTCTTGTAAAATTTAACACAAATTTTATATTCAACAAAAATCTTTGACTACAAATTCATTGACTACATTTCAAAAAATTCAGTGAATTAATTAAGTATTATATTAAAATTATAATTAAAAGAAATAAGATAACAATAAAAATAAAAGATTAAAATGGTTAATTTTTAAAAATAGATATTTTAAACGTAAATAAAATTTATGAGTCAAAATAAATATTTTAAAAGTAAAACAAAAAACAGGAGACATGCAATGCATGAAGAAACAAAAGGGGCAGTTCGTGGAAACTGAGAGAAGAGAGCCGTCGCAGACATTCACTGTAATAAAATAAAATAAAATAAAGTATATATTTAAATATTTTATAAAGAAAAAAAATCAAAGATTTGAGACACATGTACACGTGTGCCCCTACTGTCTTTTTCTTTTATTTTATTTATAATAATAATAATAATAAAAAAAAGATTTATTAAGAAAGAGCAGTCCAAAATCAAATTCAGCTGCTCCCAGTCTTTTCCTTTGACTCACACATCACATGAAATCAGCCCCATTTTTTCTTTTCCCATTTTCTGCCCCTCTCATAAATTTATTTTTTTTATTTCCTATTGGTTTCAATTTTTTTCTTTTTTTTATATAACTATTAGTGTCCAGACCAGTTTACACACACCTCGACTAATCTTAGGACAACCGTCTGACCCTAGACACATACAAATTACCTCTTGGTTTCAATTTCGCAACCTATCATCCAAAATTTCAAATTTATCTTTATTGTATTAAAAATTATCTACTAATTAGTTATTTCGTACCAAATTTTACTTCTCAATACTTAATGGTGTTAGGATTTTTTTTTAGTTCTACAACTTCTATTCGTTGTTAACAACGGAATTTAAATTGAAATTTTAATACGTTGAGGGTGCAATATAATTGAGAATTATTTAAAAGATAAGAGATCATTTAACATATTTAGCCATTAATTCATCTAATAATTCTATTTTATTTTCTAAATTTTAACCTTTATTTATCATTCATTTCCAATAAATTGTTGTACTAAAAAATCCTATAAATTATTGTAACATGTTGCTTTACTTATTCATACCAGAAGTATATGAGCAAATATTTAAAGTTATATGCAGCTGGTTAAGTAATAGACATTCAAGATGGATTCTAAATTTTTATTAAAGGATTAACAAAATTAATAAATGGTGAGGATTTTGTTGTAAATGAAATGTAATAATAATGGATTAAAATAAACTTTTTGAAATATTTAAGAACTAAAACATAATATTTAAAAGTAAAAGTAGTATAGGTTAGTAATTGACATATATCTTTAATTGAGAGGCTGTGAGTTCAAATTTTCTCCTGTACTAAAAAAAATATATAATATTTAAAAGATTAAGGATTAAAATAAAATAAATGTGAAAAAGCGTTTAGTAATTAAGACGGATTTAAACTTAATATTTTCTCTTCAATTTTGTTATATATATATTTTTCTTATTTTGATCTCTTATTTTTTACCGATATAAAATTTTAGTTTCATCTCTAATTACTTAAGATTTGTACCATAATATTGACTAGAAATGGAAAGGGGTTCATAATCCGTTTATAAACCAAATTTAGTTCTCTCCTTTCATTTGTTTTCTAGTAAACATCCAATTTTTTCAAAATATTTTTGAATGCATAGGTTTTCAATTCTTGTCTTTCTGTCTTTCTTTCTTTTTTTTCTTGATGATTGTTTGTTTTTGTCTTTTGTGTAATGTATGTTTTTTTTGTTTGGGACAAAAGTGTAATGTATGTTAATAAAGTTAATCATGTAATTATTAAACCTTTAATTTAAACCAACATATAAAGACCACTTTTAGCTTTCAATTTGTTCAATAACTTGTTCTAATTCCATTTAAAATGCATTAACTTTTACAATTTATTCCTAATGGTTTTAATTAAAAAATTAATTTTAACTAATATGAGCTTCTATGACAGTAAGTAACATTTGTCTTTACGCATGATGTTATGAGTTCAAATCTTTCACCCACTTTTACTCAAAAAAAAAAATAATAATAATAAATAATTCTTATGAGTTATTTATTATTCTTAAAAAATTTACGAAGTAGGGAATAGTGTTTTCTATGCGTCCTACACAATAACATTAATTTTTACAAGTCATTAAATACACGAATATGTCAATATAACAAAACACTCACAATTCTAGAATTCATGTCCTATGTAAGTATATTAATTTTCTTGTATAAAATTCAAACAAACGAACGGGTGAAAATTCTCGAGTTAGATCACAAGGGTCAAAAAGTCAAACAAAATCTAGAATTAGTCAAACAATATCGTGATAGTGGTCATTGTTGATGCACGAATGTGTACAAGCTAGATGCCACATGAACAAGTCGACGTGGGCTATGGAAGAGAGATGAATGGGCTATCCACAAATAGAACATTGTATTGATGTGGTGCTCACGACCACATGTACTTTGAAGCTTAAGTTAGAACTTTAGTTCAAGCTGATGTCGAGTCGAACTTACTAAGATGGCACATCGTGGGACTCTGCCTTTCATAGAGAGCTTTGAAAGGTGCATCCCTACTACTTTGGAACTTATATCTAGTGTAATCAATTTTTCCGCCAAACACCGTACCACTCGTCTGTCCAAGGATGGTGTTGGCACGATTCACGCTGGAGGTATCATATGTTCTTAGGTCTAAAACAAACTAAACTGTTTCTGGTCAATAACGTGTAATTTTACCCGTTCCACTTCATCCTTCACGTAATCGAGTTGAGGCTTGAACTTGTGTTCCAAAATGAGGGGGTCTATTTGGTAGGTCTAGAATCTACTCGATAACGAGTTTTAGTCTATAAACTTTCAAAATTATATAACGTCTACACGATAGAAAAGGAGAAAGCAGAAAATTTATTAAATAATATATGAGATGATAATCGTAACTTAGATACGATCAAGTAATTTTAAATTTTGCACAATCATTTGATTAATTTAAAGTTTGATTAAGTGGTGTCGCTGTCGAGTGATGAAGCCGCCACCATTTTCAAACCTTACTTTCCATTTTTTTCCCTTCTTTTCTTTCTTGACATCCGCCCATGAATTCCATTTCTCCCTCTCTCTTTTCTTCTTATTTTCCAATGGCTAAATTACAAGTCACTTTCTGATCAATTTGTCTATTTAGCCTCTCTAATTTAAATCTTTTTTAATAAATATTTAATTATTTAGTTTTATTTTGAAAATTTTCTAACATAACCTCGGATCAGAGCTATGGAGTGTGAACATCCATTCAAATCTACGTCCTCCTTTTGAAGCTATGCTTGGGAACATAATAATACATCACTAGTCTGTTAAGTAAGTTTTTTTTCTTCTTTCTTTTTTTCGAAAGAGTGAGAATTTGAACCTTCAACCAACATGAAGGTTGTAAATGGTGAAGTAATTGAGCTCTATAGTCTAACCGTGTCATATAACTATCAAATGATTTAAAATTGAAAGTTTATGGGCTATTTTAAAAAGAAAATTCCTTATAAACGCTTATCAGTTAGCTTCCATATTTTACTGATTATTATTAAATTTTTAACAAGCATGAGAAAAAATGCACAAAAAGAGATTTTTTTTGAATTTTCAAAAAACTGTCAAATTTTTATTAGTGATCTGAAGATGAACATTATTGACTAACTAGCAAGCACCTAGATATTGTTCTTTTTTGAAAGCCACGAAACTAAATAGATATGTATACAATCAAAACTTATTTAAAATTCGTTCATTATAAATTTGGAAAAAACTTCCCTCGCGAAGATTCAAGAGGAAGCTCTTCCTGAATTCCTGCGTGGTCCAATAATATATAGACTAAATTTTTTTTTTTAATTTTGTATAGTTCCTACATGGTCCATTTATCTATATGTTACTCTGAGTATACAGGAATTAAGGAATTAAGGAGGAAGGTTCGAAATTTTATCCTTATAAATTTTTCGAAAGTATAGAGATTAAATGATCCAAATTCGACTCCATGTCCCGAGCCGAGGCTAAATTTGTAATTCCGACCTTTATTTTCCAATCCGTATGAACCACATTCCGTGGCGTCTACGGCACCGACGCGGCGCCACCACTGGCGGCTATATATTTACTTTGTTAGTCCTCTTCATTTCTCCACATTATTTTTTTTTCTTTTTCCCCAATTTTTCCATCTCTCCAGAAACCGCCATACCCATCTCGCCGGCGGCCGCCACAATCGCAGTTTCTTTATTTTTCATGGAGAATTACCAGATGTTCTTCCCTTGCCCCGGCGGCGCTCTGCCGCCTTATCATCCCGATCTGCCGTCCGCCATGGACGCCGCGGCTGCTGCGTCTCCCGTTTTTGCCGGTTTTCACGGCGGCGATCTCCGTTCAGGTGGGTTTTTGGGGCTGAAGACAGAGGTCGATGCGGCAGCGGCGGCGATGGCCGTGGTCGACGCCGACGGTAATGGCAGCGAGAATTACCAGATCAGCTGTGACGGCGGCCATGAAGGTATACTAAAACTGTTGCTAATTAAACTAAAAAAGATAAAAAGATTTTAATTAATTTCTCCCTCTAATTTTTTTTTCTTTTCTTTATTGAATTTTTATATTTTGAGACTTATACTATGTTTATGCTTCTCATTCAAGAATTAGGAGAGGGTTATTTTGTCATTTCATTTTTTAGTTGAGAATGCTCGAGAGATAAAGAAAATTAAGGATATCGGAGAGAAAGACTAATCTCACACTTATTACTAATTCAAATAAGTGAAGAAATTAAATTAACTGAGTTTGAATACATAATCTCATGTTCTAATATCATGTTAAACTATAGATGACACTAAAAAAACTACTTAGAAATTGATAGATTATGATATATTTGGTTTTCTTTTTATTTATTGATGTTAATATATAAGAATGTTTCTCTGTGTGTGTGATAATTAAAAACTAGACACTCCGAATGGAACATGTGAGGAAATAAAATTGAAAAAAAATAGAATATCGAACCTCTACTTTGATATCATGGTAAATTACGGTACATATAATTTGATGGTAATTTTATATTATTTTTAGAAGGAGAAGTGAAATTGAGCAAAAAGAAAGGGGAGAAGAAGGTGAGGAAACCAAGATATGCATTTCAGACAAGGAGCCAAGTTGACATTCTTGACGATGGCTATCGTTGGAGAAAATATGGTCAAAAAGCTGTCAAAAACAACAAGTTTCCCAGGTAAATTAATTATTAAATATCTTTGTCTTTGTTTTTGTTTTTGATTTTGTTCTTTTGGCATTTCTTTGATCTTACTGAATCAGCATGCATGTTATTTTGGAAAAAAAAAAAAAAACAGCTCCATTTTCATCATAAAATTTAAAATCATGTTTAGTAAAGTAAAAGCTGTAACGGTCGGTCAAAGTATAGATCTTTATTGTCGTCTCAAATGTTAATGGTTCGATTTCTTATTTATCATCTTTTAACTTAAAACTAACTTAGTTATAATTATAACTAAAACGAAAAGAGTAGTTAATTAACAGTGTCTAGCTAGTTAACTGGACTCTAGCTTATAGGTGTATTTTAATAGAAAGATGAATATCATTCATCACAATTATTTTGAACTTTTGATCTTAATCTACATTATTAGGATATATCTTTTTAACATATGGTATCAAGAATATATAGGAGAGACGATGATGACGACGTTGACGTGTTATAATTGATCACTTAACTCATCAATTATTAACTTCTCTCTTCTTCATCTCAAAATATGTCTAACTATTGAAATTATCAAATAAAATATATAGAAACTTGATTGGCCTACATGTGAAAACGTTTACAAGTTGACAACAATTAGCTCTTGAAAAGGATAGCGATATTCAATAGATCTAAAATATGAAAACACGTAACAAAAAAGGTCCCTATCTAAACTTGAAATGGATGTACCACCACCTCTTCTTCAAACATATGCATGCATAAATAGATCAATCACTAGTTTCCTAGGTCTCGAAATTACATATTACAAACACATGTATGCATAATCGTCGTTGATATAAACTTGAAACAAGTACGAAGAAATCAGTGATATTACCGACACACTTTTATTTATCGTGCCACTTCAAGTACCTTCCCCACGTGTGGAGATTATGCGTTACGAACACGTGTTTGATTGTGCAGGAGCTATTATAGGTGCACACACCAAGGGTGCAATGTGAAGAAGCAAGTGCAAAGGCTAACAAGAGATGAAGGAGTGGTGGTGACAACTTATGAAGGCATGCACACCCACCCCAGTGACAAGCCCTCAGACAACTTTGAACAAATCTTGAGTAGAATGCAAATTTACAGCACTCCTTTCTGAGAAATTATTATTGATGATCTTCCATGATTTTTGATGAAGAACAAGAAGAAGAAGAAGAAGAAGATCAAGAAGAAGCTTTAAAAGAAAGCCTCACCATGGAATCCAATCATTAGTTGCTACTTGGGGATCATGTAATTAGAACAAAGGCTGTTTTTTGTTTTTGTTTTTGTTCTTGTTATTTTTGTAGAAATTAATAAAGTCTATGCACAAGGCAGCTAGCTGGTAATAAATAATATATGTTTGAAGATATGATATGAAACATATATCCATCGTTTGTTTCTTTTTTCTTTCAAGTGATTTCATACTTTTTCTTTTTTGGGTATTTTTCTTCTCTTTTATGGTTTCAATGGATTGAGTTAAGTTTATAAAATTGGTTATTTTTAAAATTAGTTTGGTTGGAATTGAATTAATTTGTAACACAGAGCATTTTCATAAGTTCAAAAAGTGTGATTATTTTCTTTTTTAAACCTATGGTAATTGCTATTCATGTGCTAGTTTTATAGTAAACATTGATGTTTCGCTCTATGATGACTTTTTTTTTTTTGGGTTTTTTCTTACTCTCACTCGGTTTAAATTGTCATAAATTAAAACATAATATCAGAAGCATTTGTTATTAAAACATGACTTTCTCCTAACGATTTTTCAAGTGTCGGAAAAAGATCACTTTTCTCGATATTTTTTGTAAAAACGTCGGGAATGTTCTTTTTCCTGACACATTTTACTCGATGTTTTTCCTGACGTTTTTATTTCATCCATTTTAAAGATTTTTTTGATGTTTTGAAGCATCAGAAAAACTTTATTTCTTGTTGTGATTGTTATCAAGTCATGAATCCTCGAAAGAGTACTCTAACTTTATTGCTTGAGTGAACATGTAAATAAATAATTTTAAACAATTTGTGTCATCTTGGTTAAAAAAAAATCATTAAAATCAATTAAAATAACAGAAAAAAGGTCCTTATTAGTGTGTCAAGGTGAACATGTTGGAAAAAAAAAACATGTTTTTGGACAAACTCTATCGCATGGGTTTAAGAAAATTTCGACTAATTTTGGAATCTAATATTTGGTATAAGTTGAGATCAAGAATAATCTATTAAATAACAAAGGCGAAAACGTGTCTAATTTTTGGGCTTAGAAAGCAAGTTTAAGAAATATTCATCTAGCTTATTATGAATTTTGTATTTTTAATTTTTTTCCGAAGTATTCATTGACTTCGACGTTTTACGGATACTTTCATACATATTTTCATAAAATTGAGACTTCAACATTTAAAACTTTTAGATCTAATGCAGAAGTAAAAGTATGTAGGTTCAACAATCACTTAATTCAAAACTTGATGAATGATAGTGACGAATATGAGTTTTAGAGGTATTAATTAATCTCTTGTTTTCTATTTGTTATTTTTGGCTCTTCCTACCATGTTACAATGCTTGAAAAATTAAGATTTTTTAAAGTAAATTCTTTTTATTTTCTTGTATTCAAACCAATATGGTGTGAGATAAAACGTTTGCTTTTCTTAAAATGTATGGGTAATTTTCACAACAAAACTAGGTTCAAGTTTACAAATTAAAAAAAATAATTAAATGTGTATGTATATATTAATGAAACAAAAACTTGATGTGTTAGGGATAAAGTAAAGCTAAAATCTATCAACGAACTTTGTAAGCCAACCATATCATTCAAGGTTTTTAGGCTTAGGAACGATCCAAAATGTTGAACCCTCGATCGGACATAAACCCATGAGTCCAACACACAAGTCATGCACCCTGAATCAAGTTCAAGCATAGGCCAAGAGGTCGAGCCGCCCACAGAGTTGACCCATGCATGATATGGGCAATGAGTCTATGGGTCGAGTCCCTTGGGCTGCTTTTTCGCGAGACTGAGTTCAAGTTTTCTTGGTTTTTCTGAAAGCCTATCGAGCCCCGACTTAAGTCCCTCGGATCTCAGAGATTCAAAATGAGAAGATATCCAAAGGATCTTAGGATTTTTCGTAAAGTCTCATAACAGAGATACACAACATGATTCAATTTTCACTATTCTTCACACAAACTCGATTCTAACTTAAGCATCAAAGTGTGTGTGGCTAATACCACACTGATGTATAAATCTCTATATTTAATTTTGTAGGTTCGATCGAATCCTTTTATTCAAGAAAAGTTGCTCTAATTTACGCACCAATATGATTTAAAAGAATAATTAACTAACCCTAGCTAAGTAAGCTTTATAGGTTTAAATATTAGTTGAAAGATTAATCTGATCATTTATATTATGATTATGGATACTTTTGGTACTGGACCATACAATTCTACTTTGAATCTAAGGATAATCTTTAACATCTAGAATCTCAGAATAGCATATAGACAATAGGATGGTTGACTTATAATTAATGACACTTAGATCATCAAACTTTTTTTTTTCTCTCTCTTCATTTTAAAATTTCTAACTATAAAGTATCAAATCAAGTATAAAACTTGCCCTACACACCAAAAACGTTTACAACTTAACAACAATTAATTAACTCTTAAAAAAGAGTGATATTATGAAGTAAAATGTGTGTTTTTGGATAACATTTGTCCATTCACAAATAACACAATATGTCATCTTAAAGAGATTCGATTGTTCATATATCTCGTAGTCTCTAACAATTTTTTTTAGTACAATAAATATCAAATACTATAAGAATTTTGAACCTCTTTGACCCGAAAGAAAAAGGAGCATAAATCATTATATACCGTTGAATTGTGCTTAAACTCACTCTTTATTTTAAATATTATTTTGGTCTTGTACTTCCAAAATGTTCATTTTCGTCTCCATGCTTCGGCTTTTGTCAATTTTAGCTCATTGTACTTTCAAAATGTTTGTTTTGGTCTTTGTACTCTTAAAAACTAACAATTTTGGTCCATTTATTTTCATTTTTATCCAATTTCCTTGATCACAATTTTAGTATGGCACTTCACTCACAAATTTTTTAAAATGTAGTCATAATTAAAATTATACTAAAGAGTTTTCATTGTATGTTATAATTTTGTAAAATAGGGACCAAAATGATCACTTTTTAAATTACGCAACTATTTAAGTTAATTTACAAGTGTAGAGACTAAAATGAACAAAAATACTTAAAATTAAGTATAAGAACCAAAATAGCATTTTTTTTTTAGATAAACCAAAATACAAATTTTAAAAGTATAGGGATCAAAATAAACCAAAATCATACCTCAAGAGAAAAATAAGATGTCTTAACTGCTGAGTTATGTTTATATTGGCTACACTATAGAAGATATTAGTGTCTTTTATCATATCGTTATAATATTAAACATCAATTAAGGTCGACTTGAGAAGGCCATCAGCAATCCAAAAAATTCCACTAATTGAAAGTTGTTTAGATAATTATATTGAGATATCTCCAAGAGGGAGCAATTTTAACCCAGTCATTTTCTAAAATAATCATTTTCAAAAACATTACTCTTTTAAAATGAGAGTGATTTTGTTACCGCACGACATTTGATAATGATATACCAGTAGCTCTAGAAAATGATGATAGAATTAGTAATTTAAAAAAAAAAAAAAAAGAGATTTAAGTATATTTAATTTTCTAAAAACTCCATTTAAGTGATGCATTCAAAATCAATTTAAAATGATTTTAGATTTTCTTTAAATCAATTTTTAATTTATCAAACAAAAGTGATTTCGATGGTGTCAAAAATCATCCCGAACACACCCTAAATAATCAGTCAAGTGCCATAGCAACTTTTTGCTATAAGCTAACTTAACCATCCAAGCCAACATACAGAAATCCCATTGGTCAAAATTTTCAATTTGCTACCCACCACTATAAATTTGGGAACTTTCAATTCTTATCTTTAAAAGTAAAATAAAAATAATCTATGCACCACATTACCACTGTTTTTAATGTGATAAAATATAATAAAAAAAAGGCACCTAAATGATGTGGTTCTTTGTTTTCTTTAAAGAAAGAATTATGGAAAGATTTAAGATAATGTTATAGGAAATGTTGCACTTTATGAAAATGGGTTGATCAAATTGCACAAAAATCTAAAGTTAAAGTTTTGGTTGTTCAATAATCACTTGATCAGAATCCACTAAGAGACAAATAAAAATAAGGTCAACTATTGGGCTTCATGTGCCCCATTTCAAATGTATTAATAGTTTTTTAGTGATATTTTGGCTTCACTAAAAATTATACTCCTCGATCAAAATAAGAACGAATGGCGAGCTAGCTCAACGGTAATTGACATATATCTCAAATTAAGAGGTTGTGAGTTCGATTCTCATCTAATCTCTAGCGAACTTGAGCAAAGGTCAGAAATGGATACCAATTTACGGCTGATCTAAGATCATGTTGGCATGAAAACAAAATGTTGTTAATAGTTGTGGCTAAAACTAAAAGTAGTATTCACCCCTCTAAAAGTTGGTCCTAAACTCAACTCAAGTCATTGAGTTAAAAAGTTTGATAAGAAATAATTTATACATCAAATAACGTACTAGTGAATGAAGTCAATAGATTTCTTAACATTTATAATCGAAGGTGGTTGAATTATATACTCGTATTTTGACACGATTTTTAATTTCAAGAAGAATAGAAAGGGTTAAATCATTATAAAAACAAAAAGTATATAAGAACCAAAAATTTTATTTGAGTCAAACATACAATGACCCTTTAAATCCTACCTACTTATATCAAATATATCATTGTTTTCCTTTTTCTTTTTTTTTAAAGGTGCATTAATAGCATAAAACTTTTGGGTTTTGGCAAAATATTGGAATTGAAGTTGTCCCCACATTGGAACAATAGTCTCCATGTGCTAGAAGTTGTCCCACATCGAAAAAGTACAAGGAGAAGATGTGTTCCAACTACTGAAAAATGAGCTCATGGATTTGGGTTTTAATCATCCCAATTGAAATACTTTAAGCCTCGTATACCAAAACTGAGCGGTATTTGCTTTGAAAGAGTGTTTTGTGTAATTGGGGTCGGGGTGAGAAATCTGTGTGATTGTAATAATTTTTCATATAGTGGATTTTCCCTTGTGGGCCGTGGTTTTTTCTCCGGTTCGGAGTTTTTCCACGTTAATTCTTGTGTTTCTTTATTTTATTGCTTTCTTTAAATTTTTCAGTTATTTTCTACTTATTCCTACGGTAGAAGTAGGAGACTTTTTCCCATCAGGTGGTATCAGAGCTTTAGGTTTATAGTTTCTAGAATTTCTGAGTATGCTCTATGGTTGCAGCATTGTCTGAACTTCCACATCAGAAAAGATTTCTTGAAACGAGCTATGGTTCTGTGAATAGTGTGTCTTGTTTACTATTTGCAAATTCGCTAGGACTGTGAAGCAGATATGTCATTCTTTATGAGTCCAGAAGATTGACGTGGAGAAATTTGATGGAATGATCAACTTTGGCTTGTAGCAAGTGCAAGTTAAGGATGTGCTAATACAATCTGGGTTACACAAGGCATTGAAGGGAAGACCGAGTGAAGGTGCTTCGGAAAAGCTAAGCGGTGATGGTGGTCCAATGGAGTCTAGTGGTGGTTCCAGCAGAGGTTCTAAGAAGTCTAGCATGAGTGATGAAGATTGGGAGGAAATGGATTTGAGAGCTGCAAGCGCGATACGAACAGGTTTGGCTAAGAATATTCTTGCGAATGTGCATGGAATTTCGACAGCCAAAGAACTTTGGGAGAAGCTCGAAGCGTTGTATCAGGTAAATGGCATCTCAAATCGGTTGTACCTGAAGGAGCAGTTTCACACGCTGCGAATAGAGGAATGTACGAAAATTTTAAATCATCTGAGTAATCTCAATAGCATCATCTTTGAGCTGGAGGGGATCGAAGTGATGATAGATGATGAAGATAAAGCACTCAGGCTCATCTTATCACTTCCACCTTCTTATGAACACATGAAGCCGATCTTAATGTATGGGAAGAATACTTTGAATTTTGCCGAGGTTACTAGTAAACTCTTGTCAGAGGAAAGAAGGCTGAAGAGTGAAGGGCGTACTTCACATGAAGATTTCGCACTGGTAGCTAGCAATTGGAAGAAGAAGAAAGACTCCGTACAAAAGAAAGTTTATTATTGGGGATGCGGACAATCTGGACACATGAAGAAAGATTGTCCCAACAGAGCCGGTTCGGGATGCTGACAGTGTTTCTCTCATCAGGGGAGACGATGATCAATTCCTTTGAAGAGAGAGATAATTCATCCTCATGGTATGTTCGCTTTACCATGATAGAGGATGTGATGTTAGCGGTTCCACAAGTTTACACATGGGCATTGGCTTGGCCGTTATGCAAGGTGTGTGTGGTGGAAGTTATGTCGATAGCTGAAAAACTTCCAAGTGAGCCAAGTAGGTGGAAGTTGTACCATAAATCTCAGTAGGATTTATCGACATGTGACAAGGAAGAAAAATCTTGGAAGGCGACATTCCAAGTGATCTACTTTTATGGTGGAGTAGGCTATAGTTCTCTGAATTGAGAATTATGATTGTCGGTGAAGATAATGAGTGCAGTAGAAGCTGTGAATTTTTTTCAATATCTTGCCAACGTGGATTTTGTTGAGTTTTGGCAAAATATTGGAATTGAAGTTGTCCCACATTAGAAGAATACAAGGATGGTCTCCATGTGCTAGAAATTGTCTCACATCGGAAAAGTACAAGGAGGAGATGTGTTCCAACTACTATAAAAGGAGCTCATAGGCTTGGGTTTTAATCATTCCAATTGAAATACTAGAGCCTGGTATACCAGTTCTTGTTAACTGAACGATATTTGCTTTGAAAGAGTGTTTTGTGTAATTGAGGTCGAGGAGAGAAATCTGTGTGATTGTAATAATTTTTCACATAGTGGATTTTTCCTTGTGGGCCGTGGTTTTTTCTCTGGTTTGGAGTTTTTCCACGTTAATTCTTGTGTTTCTTTATTTTATTGCAACAAGTGTTATAGGGTTGATATGAAATACAAAAATCACACCATGACAAGTTTGATTTAAGATATTTGAGTGAAATTACTGTTTTGGAGTTAATTTGAATGGAATTTTTTTTCCTTTTATAAATTGTATGGAAAAGAAATTTGAAAATTGGGTATGGTTAATTTGGACATGTATATGCACATGGATTTGGAATACTAATGTTGAAGAATTACCCAATTATATGGAAATGAGTATCTCTTAAACATAATAAAACCACTCTCTTAGGATAAATTCTTTTACTAAATTGGCTCTTAGGATAAATTCTTTTACTAAATTGGCACCTTCAAGGATAAAGAATAAAGCATCCTTAAAAAAAAAAAAAATAATAAAATAAAAGTGTTCCTTTCAAAACCACAAATTTGTGGATATTATCCTTAATTTTCACACGTCAATTAATCATAATTTTCAAAAATGATTGCGTTTGTTAGTACAATATATCTCCTCATATTTTCACACAATGGTATGAAATTAAGTACCACATGATGATTTTGTTCTTAGGTAAAACAACCCCTCCTATTTTTAGGAGCACACCTCTCCTTTATAGAGCTCAACCACATATCACGTTATGTGATAATCGATTTCATTTATATGGTTAATTCCGAGGCATGATTCAAATACACCACGGGTTAGAACAATAAGAGTCTTCAATTTTATATCATAATATCTACCTTCATTCAAAGCCCACATAGTTTTACTTTCTCATTCTATTTAAAAAAATCTTCATATACCAATAGATCTTTCCGACCTATATTCACTTCCTCAACGTCAGATAATATTCGTGAAGTGGCTAATTCAGTAAGAGCTCCTCCTACTCATCGATACATAGTGAACCAACGAAATTGAGTAAGTTTTCCAAAATAACAGCTCTTTAATTCAACATCTTTTTTTCTTCTTTTTCTTTTTGGAGTTTTCTCAAGAACAAAATCCAAATGAAGAAGAAGAAAAAAGAAAAATTGGGCAGACAGACAGGATTAAGAAGCATTTCCACGACATTAAGGTTGTTATTTGAGAGAGATGCCAAAGTTGTTATAAATTAAAGGTTGTCAAAGCAGAGAATGAATACTGTCTGTCAGAATCTAAGAATTTGATTTTGGAATTCAAGAAACCTTTTTTTTTTTCTTTTTTTTTCCTTTTTTGGATTTAATGGAAAGTTTTATAAATTATCTGAATACTGAAAATTTAGTGGTCACAAAATGGAAAGCTGTCAGAGATTCTAGGAACAGACATGAGATGCCTGCCCTGCCCCTCTCCCCCATCCTTTAATTTCCCTTTAAATCCTTTAAAGCCCTTCATTTGCTTTCCTATTAGGCTATTACTCATTTAAGACCAATAAAACCTGTCCCTTTCTCCTTTTTTCTCATAACCAAATTACAAATTTGCCCTTTAAATTTCCCGAGCGATGTGTTTTTAGTCCTTGTAGTTGATAAAATTTCAAGATTGTGCCTATTTAATACTTGAACTTTCAATCTTGTGTCTAAGTCTAAAGATTACATGGTGGGCTGATAGCAGGATTTAACAGAGAACCTCATAAATAAAGAATTGAGAGTTCAGTTACCCGTTAGAAATCTTCTTAAAAGTAAAAAAAACTCAATAGACACTTACCTTAGACACTTACCTCAAAGTTGAGGTATTTATTAAATTTTCTTTTAATTACATGGACTAAATAGATATAACACTAACTTAGTGTATTGTACTAAATTCTTTTTTAACTAAACTACCAGTGTGGCTTTTAAAGTTTCGGAGTTATGCGTATTTAGTCATTGTAGTCTCTAAACTTTTAAGATTGTATCTATCTTATTCCTTTAACTTTCAATCTTTTCATCTATTATATCTTTACTGAGTGTATATATAGTTTAAAGATGAAATTGAATGATTTCAAACAGGTAACGTAGAAATAAACGGATGAAGTTAAAAATATAGATTTGTAACCTACATAACTAACACTAACCCGATTGTTCAAGGATCTACTAGAAATTTGTATAAATCATATATAATTCAGTTCAAGGATCTACTTGAAATTTTTATAAGTTAGATATAATTCTAGAAGTTGATGAATCAAAACTTCCTTTTCCACTTAAGCTTGATTTGTTTTTCAAACTATTTCCTAAAGTGGAAGAAATGTTAAAAAAAGAAAGATGGGATGGGAAGACCAAAAAATCTCACTGTCTTGTATTGTCATTCCATTCTTCTCTTGCTTGTGTTATTTTCACCTTGATTTTGTTTATGCTGTCATGACCATGACCCAATTTTTCTTTCTTTTCTCTTCCTATTTTGCCCCTCTCTCTCTTCTAAAATAATTATTAATGTGGGCAACCCAGTTGGGGGTTGATGGGAAGGGTAAAGATGGTTGCTTTCTAAAATGAATTCTTAACCCATTTTCTTGGAAGTTTGTGCTTGTCATCTTGTGGCAAAGTGGGAACTTCACCCAAATTTCACATTATTTTTCTCTCTCTTCTCTATTTGGAGTAAGATGGGATGGGAAAGCTCCCCTAAGGCTAAAAATAATGTGGGGTTTGTAATTTAATTCAATTCAATTAAAATGCTTTGGAATTTCATAATCTCAACTCAAGCTTCCATTAATTTTATCCAACCATTCTCTATCTTCTTCTTCTTCTTCTCTGTTTTGTTCTTTTTTTAATCCAAAAAGTGAAATGACCCTTTGAAGACTTGGGGGTATGTTCAATTGGGGAGAACAAAAGCAAGGCACCAACCGAAGCTGTTTATGGATTGGGGTTTGGGAAAATTTTCTGGGGAAAAATCCGCTTTCCGGGAATCCAAACAGACCCCTCCTCCCCCTCCAAGTTTCTCCGATTCCATAGGTTCCAACAACGAAGAATCGAGCTCCTCCTCCCATGGATCCTCCAAAAGGACTCGTGTCCTCCATGGCACCCAGAATCAGACATGTTTGGTCGACGGCTGCGATTCGGACCTCAAAAATTGCAAGGATTACCACCGCCGCCATAGGGTCTGCGATTCCCACTCCAAAACCCCTGTTGTGATGGTCAGGGGAGAGGAGAAGCGATTCTGCCAACAGTGCAGCAGGTAAAATCGAAACAAATTTGATGGGTTGTTTTCGATTTCTGTGATTTTCCCGGAAAATGTATGATTCTTCTGAAGTGATTGTAGATTCCACTCGCTGGGTGAGTTCGATGAGGTGAAGAGAAGCTGCAGGAAACGGCTGGATGGCCACAATCGGCGCCGGAGAAAGCCTCAGCCGGAGTCCTTGATCTTCAGTTCCAGAGATTTCCTGTCCAATTGCAAAGGTTAGATTTCTCTTCCCAATTTAGAGTAGAAATCTTTGATGGGTCTGCTGTTTCAAAAGGGGGGAAAAAGAAACCAAACAATTCACTCCATTCCCTTTGTAAAATTGGCTACCTTAATCCATAGGTCCAGTTTTGCTGCACTTCAGTGATCCAGCGGTTTATGGACCTGATATTGGTAAGACTCTGTGGCCTGTAAGAAGTGAGGAGAAAATGAAATCTATGGTTCCATCAAACTCCTTCAACTATGGAGGAGAGAACAAACAGTTGCCATTTTTCCTGCAGAGAAATGGCACAAAGCAAGGCAAGCAAATGGGTTCTTCTCAGTTGTTTTTCAATCAGCAACTTCCTGATACAATCTCTCTGGGAAGTGAAGTGGGCAGCCAGAAAATTCTGCCCACCAATCTCTCGCCCGAGGATTCAGGTTGTGCTCTCTATCTTCTGTCATCGCACCCGGTGCAAGCTCTCCCAGATTCTGGCCTGAGCTCTCTGGTTCAGTCCCATCTGGGTATTCCAGTCCAAACTCAAGACACTGAGCTGCTGCATTTCAGTAGCCTAAGTGACTTCTCTGGCTCCTTTGGCTCCAAAGACAAGCCTGTTTGTAAAACCAGCCTTCATGGTGAGTTGGTTCTTGAAATGGAGGAATCTGATGGCTTGTTCCACAGTGAGGCTCCACACAAGTTTCCCATTTCTTGGGAGTAGTTCTTACTTCTCTTCAATCAGCTTGTTTGTTTTTAGTAGTTTGAATTTCTGTGTTCTCTGTTATTGTTAGACAGCAAAGATATTTTGCTGGTTGTTTTATGAGTTTTCAATAACCAGGAAGAGTCGCTCTGCATCGTGAGCACGCTGGGATTCTACATTCCATTTTCCCGACACCGTTGTTGTTGAGTGGACCATCGACAATGATTTGTCTTTCTATTCCTCATTTGGACTTGTGTCTTGAATTATGTTTTGATTTGCAAGTTACCATTTTCTTACATCCTTGTTCTTCATCATGTTGAGTTTCTTATGGCTATTGTTAAAGGGGTCAAAGAGAATTTTGTTCTTTTTTTTGTCTAGTTTGAGATGAATGTTCTTTTCAGCTATGAGATTGCATACATGGTTTTGCTTGGTCTCTTTGTTTCTTTCTTCAATAGTCTCTATTAATAGAAAGAATCAAAAATTATATAAACAACTTTGCAACTTTTCCTTTTCCTTCCACTTTTGACTCTTACTAGTGAAGCAACTCATACTACCAGCATTCTCTATAAATATGAAGTCTAAGAAATATTTAAGGTTAAATTCGGAATGACTATTTGGGTCTTTTTATTCACGTTTTTATCCCTTTTTTTTCTTTCTGATTACAATTTTAAGCATGACACTACAAAATAAATTTTTAAAATATAGTTTTTGTTGGGTATAGAATTAGTATGGATATTTTTCAAGCAGAAACTTTTTAGTACAATAAATATGGGTATAAGGATTTCAATCTCCAAAGAGAAATTATATATCTTTATTTATGCTCATATTAGCAAAGTAATCACTTTTTAAAAATACAAAAATCAAAATAAATTTTTTAAAAGTAACCGGAGTTAAAACAGATAAAAATTAAAAACAGATGAACAAGATTAATTCAAATTAATCACTTTGACTAATTGTTTTTATGTATATTATAAGTAAAAAGGCAGTAAAAATAGATATTTCAAAAGATCGAGGACTAAAATAATAACTTGCCATGCTACATAGCATTGGAGTAAAAGCAAGTTTTTAAATGTAGATGTCAATAAAAATGTTGAACTCTCAATTTTATGAAAACATATAATTGATATATCTATAAAATATAGATGTCAATAGATACTTTTAGAAAATAATATTATATATATATATATATACATTTTACCAATTTTTTTACCATACAATAAAAATACCAATTCATGTCAATGTCAAACTCACAGACATAAAAAAAAAAATCGATGAAGACATTGATACATCGATGAAAATTTAATAAATTGAAGAGAGGATTATTGGGGAGGTGGCAACATGAGGCATTTGGTGGGCCATTTGGTAGGTTGGGAGTATTCATCCCAAAATAAAAAGGGGGTGGAGATATAGGTTAACCCCACCTATGAAGCTTTCAAGACTAATAATATAAAATGTGTAACCTTTCCACACAAAAAAGAAAAAGAAAAAGAAAAAAAATATATTTTTTTTCAATCTTGTCGTGGCACTTAAATAAACCACATAACATTCTCATCAACCAACTGCACAGCTCTATTGATACAGAACCTAAATTAAACTATTCCAGACATTTCAATAGGATCAAACAGAATCATTTATAATAATCTCAAGCATCAAACAAGACCAAACATGGGATTCAATAGTAATATTACATAAATTGTAAAAACTACTGTTGGCAGAAACAACTCCTTGTCTATCTAAACACAGCAGACATCATTATAATCAAAATGAAATCAACAGGATGTTTTAAAGTCAGACACCAATAATCCTTGTTGCCATTCCCTAAACATAATTATTATAACCCACCTAATAGATCAGTTATCAGTTTATAGCTTCTTCAATCAGGCTCAGGCTCAGGCCCAGGCTAGCTGTTAATTCAATCATAAGAAACAGTATATCCATTAACACACTATGCTTTCTATCTACCACGTTATTTTTCATCTGTCCAAAGTGACTGAAAATAATAGTAATAAATTGTACTCAACCAGACAACAAAATTTTGGGGGTGGTGGAGATTGACTCAATAGCAGGTATAAATTACTAAATAACCAAAATATTAACATTAGTGCTTGTCATCTTTGGGAATATCTTTCTGAGATGCCTTGGCTTCCAGCTCCTTGGTTGCTTTCTCCACAGTCCTGGAAGAACAACATAGTGATCATATTACAAAAAAATGACCTACAATTGGAGCACCAGCCTATTGCATTCACATGCCAAAATAGATATCATAATGGACATGGGTTTCATGAAATTTGCCATGACCCTTAAAGTTTGATATCGTTTATCTTGTTCTGATACTTCTATTTTTATGTTTTCTGTCATTCTTCACTTGTGCCAACAACTGGAATGGGTTTTTAACGTTCTTCAGTGCAAGTATAACATAACCAAACCGAATTAAACCTCCTATTGCTAATGTTCTGATATTAGATCTAGCACCATGTAGAAAAATAAATGGTAAAATACATTTTTGGTCGCTAAGGTTTTGACTTAGTTTCTATTTGGTCCCTAAGTTTAAAAAATCACCACATTTGGTCCATATCTATTTAGTCCTTCAATTTCAAAAGTGACATATTAGGTCTCTGATGTTTGAATTTAGTTTTTAATTGGTCCTTGAGGTTTGAGTTTGGTTTTTAATTGATCCATAACGTTTGAGTTTTGTTTCTAATTGGTTCTTAAGTTGAGTCGACTATTAGGTTAACCTACCAGAATGATTATGTGACAATTAACATATGTTAGCTAGACTTTGCTATTTAGACAAAAAGTGAATGAGTAATACCGTTAGGTTAATTAACATTCAACTTAACTCATGGACCAATTAGAAACCAAACTCAAACTTTAAGAACCCATTAAAAACTAAATTCAAACTTCAAGAATCAAACATGTCACTTTCAAAACTTCAATGACTGAATTGAAACTAAATTTAAATCTCGGATGGATGGTTTTTTAAATTAAGGGACCAAAAGTGTACTTTATTGAAATATCAATTAATTTAAAAAAACCAGATATGATAACCATGAGATGCTAGAGGCTTTGGAAGTATGCTAATAGTGGCCCAAGCCGTCAGTCCGTTTAGTATTGAGTTATTTTCGAGTAGTGGATAAGGACGATCAGGACATTTTATAATACAGACAAAGATGTGTCTGTAATTAGGAAGAAATAGAAGAGGGGCGACAGAGGATGGAAGTGACTATAGTGAGCACTATGAAAGGAGAATACCAGAAGTCATGAAAGTCTAGGTAGCTTGTAATTTTCATCGAATGGCAATAGACTTAATTGAAAGGGGGTCTGGCAACTGATTGGACAGGTACTCCAACACAACGAATCACGGAATCAGTCTACACCAAAAGCATATTCCAGGAATTAATTTGGTTCCTCCTTGAATACTTGACCAAGACAAGTATATCCCTCAGTTGACAACTATCAGGAAGAGAATTAGTTAACAATTACACTAGTAGTAGTAGACTGACGATAAACTAACCAGTCCATAAGTCAATCAAGTTCCTCTCTCAACCACTTTTATTTATATTCAAAACCAGAAGCGGCTTTTCTAGAATTCTAAAAAACAAATAATCGTTTAGAAAGCATTTGACAAGAAGATAAGGTTCTCTAACTTTTCTTTTCAAACTGCAATCCAACTCCAAATCCATATCGAAGCGGCTTTTCTAGAATTCTAAAGAACAAATAATCGTTTAGAAAGCCTTTGACGAGAAGATAAGGTTCTCAAACTTTTCTCTTCAAGCTGCAAGCCGATTCCAAATCCATAGCTGATTAACTTATGAGCATCCATTTCCAATACTTGAGAAATATGTACCAGAAATTTTTTTTAGATAAGAAACATTCTTTGTATATATCAAAAAAGGAGGAAACAGCCTAAGGCTAGGGTAGAGGAAACCCCCCTAAAAAGCTAAACAATCACTATCAAATTGTGCATGAACATAGACAGGTTGTAATTACAAAAGAATTTACTATAACTGATGCCTCACATGAGGTAGTGTGCTGTACATCCCTAAAAAAAGATCAAAAGTAGTGGACTTATCCTCAAAAACACGAGAGTTTCTTTCGAGCCAAAGATGCCAAAGGAGGGCTCTTGAGGCGCAACACCAAATAAACCTAGTTTTCTTAGGGAGAGCCCACCCATGAAGAACTTCAGCCATCCAAATCTTCTATTTGTCTTGGGAAGTAGGTGGAGATCTCAAAATATTTAGGAGGGAGTACCCACTCTGAGTTGCAAAATGGCAGTGCAAGAATATGTGATCCATTTTCTCACTGTGCTTCATACAAAGAGTGCAGACCGAGGGGGACAGCATCCAATTTTTACACTTCCTCTGGGAGTTTATCATGGGTGTTCAAGCTTCCATGGGCAAGGGACCATAGAAAGACTTTGACCTTCTTTGGAGCCTTAAATTTCCACACCGCCAAAATGAGAGAGGCCCTGACCTCAAAAAGGGCCTGCATTCCACCAATTTCAAACAGGCCGAACGGGTAGAGAACCGACCATTTTTGTCTAGAAACCAACCTACTCGATCCTCACCCTCCCCCAGCTGCACCACATCTATTGCTTGGATAAGCCCCATCCAGCCCTCAACATCCCAATCGAAAAGGCCTCTACGCATGCCTATATCCCATTCATTTTCATTGGTGTTCCAACAATCAGCTACCGTAGCCTCCTTTTATGTAGAAAGGTTGAACATGGCAAGGAACAAATTATGGAGAGAATCATTCCCAATCCACCTGTCCGACCAGAATTTAACTCTATTTCCCCTTCTCACCTTGAACTCTAGGAACTTGGAAAATAACGTGCTATTTTTAAAAATATCAAACCACGGTCTTCCCCTCGCACGCCCTTTAAGTGGAAGTGTACACGACCCATGGGAGTCTTCACCGTAGATACTTATAATCACCTTCCGCTACAAAGCATTGGTTTCATGGGTAAATCTCCAAAGTCATTTAAGCAGTAAACTATTATTCTTTTAATGTAAAGCCCTTATTTCGAGACCTCCATATTGCAACGAAAGCGTGGTCTTCCCCCAATTCACCAAGTTACAAAGGCTTTTTATACTTCCCCCATTACGAAAAAAATTCTGTGTCAACTACTCGATTTCATTAACAACTCTCGTTGGAGATTTTGGGACCGAGAAGAAATAGAGAGGAAGATTGGTAATCACAGATTGCGCGAGTGTAAGTCAACCACCCTTTGAGAGAAAGGTTCTTCCACTTGTCAATCTTTTGTCTAACTCTATCAATTAGAGGTTCCCAAAAAGCTTTCTTCTTATAATTGCCCTCCAAAGGAATTCCCAAGTAGGGTAAGGGAAGCCTTTTCCACTTTGCATCCCAACTTTCAAGCAGTAGCCTGAAGCAAGTCTTCTTCTACATGGATTCCGATGATGGCCGTTTCTTTTAAATTCAAAGACAGTCCGGAGGCTTGTAGAAAGATGTCTAAAATCATCCACCCATTTTCCAACATATCTGTCTCATTTGGACAGAAAATCATAGTGTCATCCACGTATTGCAAATGAGAGACCTCCACCACTTGTCTACCAATTCCAAAGCCTATAATCAACCTTCTTTGACTACAAAAATGAACCAATCTGCTGAAAGAATCTCCTACTAAAGTGAAGAGAAAAGGGGAAGTGGATCCCCTTATCTCAAGCCCTGTTTCGCAAGAATTTTCCCCTGGGGTCCGCCATTTATAAGAATGGAAAAGTTTGCAGAAGACAAACATCTCATGATCCATCTTCTCCATCTAGGGCCGAAGCCGCCTTTTTGTTCCATGACTGCCTCCAAATATGACCAATCAACTTTGTCATATGCTTTTTCATAATCTAGTTTTATCAGAAACCAGACTTATTCCTCACCTCCTAGTCCCCTACTGCCTCGGAAGCAATTAGGATAGCATCTGTGATTTGATGCCCTTATATGAAAGTCGATTGTGCATCATGAATAATCGTCGACAAAACTTTCTTTAGTCTTTCCACAAGAACCTTTGAGATGATCTTGTACTGAGAAGTTACCAAACTAATCGGTTTGAACTCTCCAACCTTCATCGCCTTCAACTTCTTCGGGATCATGCAGATATAAGTCTCATTTGTGCATGCTTAATAATGTTGTTTCTAAAAAAATCTTGGAACACCTCTAGAATGTCTTGCTTGAGGGTGTTCTAAGGCTTTTTATAGAATTCATTTGTGAAACCATCCGGCCTTGGGGACTTCAAATTCCCAAGGCTAAAGACCGCTTGCTGAATCTCTTCTATTTCAAAAGGCCTTTCGAGCGACGTTGACCATCTATCCTCAAGGCCAACCCATTGAACTCCTTCAATCAGAAAGCAAGGCCCCGAAACTTCAGAAAGTACCAGAAATTTGACTCATATATTTAAGGAGTTTCTCATGAGAACTGAATGCCAAGCAATCTTCAAATGCAAAAAGGTACCACCTAAGAAACACGATCTTACGGACACTTCAATTTTGGTAACGTGTTCGTGTCGAACACTCCGATGCTCCAACACTTATTGGACACGTATCGGACACTTATTAGCTCAATAGACGTTTGTCACACCCTAATTATACAAAGTGAATGTAAATCCAATACTTGTTAGGCACGTATCAACTTGTTAACCATAAGAAATAGATATAAATAGTAATATAGGACAAAATAATAAATTTTGAAAGCAAAATGCATCAAACTCATTCTTTTAAGCATAAAAATTCATGAACTTATTAACTTTGAATTATTTCCCTCGAGTATAAGAATTATATATACTTTTAAAAAAATTGTATATTTTAAGAAATGCGTCCTTGCCATTCCGTGTCCTAAATGTTTAGAAAATGATGTGTCACCATGTTCGCGTTGTCATAACTCATATCCGTGTCTCATGTCCATATTCGTACTTCTTAGGGTGCCACTAAAATGAGGTACAATAACCTACATATTTTCAGCTAGATCATTACTCTTGTTTTCCCCAATGCCCACTTCCACGAGCACATGATCAAAAGGTGTTAAGAAAAATGAAAAGTAAACCCTCCATACATCAGTATTGGTATGTTAATGTTATTGTCCAAGTCCACTTAATATCCTTGAACTCTACTTAAGAGAACTCTTACTAATAAAAATATTTCCTTATTCATAAATACATGATCTTTCCCTTTTAACCATGTGTGACTTTGGTCATGCCCTTAAGAATTCTATTGAACAAATAACCATCTAACCTTCCTTCAATATCTATCTCTCTACTTCTTATCACAACCCGGAGCTTTACTCTTATTCAAGTAATTCCAATACTCCAGAGCATTAATTCTAGCCTTCTCAACTACTTGTTACCTATTCCTCTCCTTATTATTAATATTCAATAGTTTCTTTCCAACCATAACTACTACAGCATCAATTAATTTAGTTAGACAAATCTGAACATGCTTTTGAATTGAGTACCCACTGCATCTGCTCTAAGTTCTTAACAGAACCAAGAAACACCAAGCATATATTTTGTTGCAAATCCCAAATTTGTACTCCAACACTTGGAGCTAAAATCACAGTGAAACAAAACATGTGGTTGTTTCCCTCCTTGACTTTATACAGCACACTCCAGATTAAGGAAAGGGGAAATCGCCAATCTGGAAACCTTTTCTGCAATTCCAAAGTGCTGGTATTCATGGTTTCAAAACCGCAAAACTGCATTATTTCTATGGGATCTTTCCTTTTCATACCAACCTTAACAGATTTCTCTCTAAAATACTAACAGATTGCAAGTTCTTTTCTAGCAAAGCTACCATATTTTCTTGCTTTCCCATCGGACAAATATCTTCTCATAGTAATTTTCCAAAAAACACTCCTCATCCGAAAAGAATTCACAGTTCACGCATCCATCTGACAAAGCTGCCACCTTAAAAATTCTCTAAAGCACACAGCTCAGCAGCTGATTCTCTTCCATCTATTGTCCCAAAAGGAAATCCTTGTCCCATTTCCCACTGAAAGCTGCCAGGCCACAAGTCTAGATTTGGAGATGTGCACCACCAAGGGTTTTACCAGCAACCATTTCTCTTCACCTGTACCCCACCCAATCAACACCAGATTTTCTTTCAATAATTTTACGGCACAATTCCTCAAGCTCTAGGGGAAACCCGTTTAGCCAGAATAACTTCATTTCTCATTATAACATTTCCATCTCCCAGCCTCCCCTCCCCAAATGATTTAGCTTTCCTTCAGTTTCCATCCCCAATAAAATCACTTGTGTATTTGTAATTTGTCTACTCTCCCAGACACTTTATTACTCACAGGGTACGTCAACATAAAACTTCGTAGATGCCAAAATCCTGTGAATCAAAGTTGGCCATTCAGATAACTTCCCCAAGATCTTTTTATCTCGAATGGGTCTCCAAATTTCCTATCTCTTAGGATTTCCCCCAAGGCACGCCCAAACCTTCGTTGGCCACTCGCTTTGCAACCAAAAAAATCAGCCACCCTAGTGATTCTCTCCTTTTCCACATTAGTCCCAGAAACTTCATCGCTACTCAAATATCCACATGGCTACCACCCAAAGTGATTTCAAAACGGGTTTTCTTTCGGAAAGCCAACAATAAACCAGCGCTATAACGCGATTGCAACCCCAAACTTAGAAATGATACAAATCCCAAGTATAAACACTCCCATCGACTGCAAATTAAATTCGTAAACGAACGCGACCGATTTCAGTTAGAATCAATTGCTACAGCATATTGATTTAGCTCCGACACCACTATAGCACATGAGCTTCAACCAAAACAAATACGAACAAAACAAGTAAAAAAGAAAGTAAGATTAGGAGAAAATTACTTAGAGGCAGAGGCAGATTCTTCTTCAATCCACTGGCGGATGTGCTTGACGTTGCGCCTGAAGATTGAAGCCGACTGTTTCACATCGCTCCTCAGAAGAAGAATCACGGCACTAACTCCCGCCACTGTCAAGATGAAGTTTGTTAAAGCCATCTTCTCGAATGCAATTTCAGACACTTTCGATTTTTTTGCGAGGCTGATTGAAGAAGACGACGATCGGTTTAAGTGGGCCGTTTTATTTGCGGCCCAGTTGGATGCAATTTTCAAGGGCCCATAAAAAAGCCCAAACTCTGACATTGGGCTTATCACGAATTTTAGGCCCAGTTTAAACAGCCTCCCCTCGAGTTTACTCTCTCTCTCTCAATTTGGGAGGGAGGACGTAACAACAAAAGGGGAGATAAAAGGGGAGATAATGTAACAGGAAACAAATTTGAGAATAGAGAGTAATATTTTGATTTTAAAACTAATAACGAAATAAAAAGGATAAAATGGTCCAAGTAAAACATGTGAAATTGTTGTAAAAATACAAATATACATTTTTTATTAACAAAAATCATTCGACCATTTTCAAAAGAGAATAACAGATAGGGATGTCTACTACTGATACTGATTCGGAATAAGGAAGACGGTAGCTAGGAATTAATTTAATAATTAATTGGTTTGAATATTATTTTGATTACCTATACTTTCGACTTTGATTCATTTTGTTTCTTATGCTTTTAAATTTGGTCTTTGTACTTTCAACATCGGTTTACTTTAAATCCTATATTTTCAAAATGTTTATTTGTGATCCTTTTGCTCCATTTATTTTTATTTTTATCACACTTCTTTCTATCACAATTTTACATGATATTTCACTTATAAAATTTATAGAACGTAGTCATCAATTTGTATTAAAAGGGTTTATACTATGTATAAAATTTTAAAACATAGGCTAGGCTAAAATTTGACAAATCTATCTCAGTTAAATAAATTATAGAACATTAAGACTTAAAAGAAATGTGTGACTAGGACTAGGTTTTAATTAAAATTTGTGAGTTTTATTAGATTTATTTATTGGCTATTTTTGCGCATAGATGTGGTTTAATTTTATGCCAGACTTGACTTTCATTGAAATTAATGAATATTAGGAGATTTTTACATTTGTTGTACTTAAACGGTTGTTGAACATATGGTGAAAATTSCAATACTTAAGTTGAGAGGTCTTTTTATGAAATTTAAAATTTAGAACGAAAATTGATATACTATCTCTATCAAGTTTATAGACCTTAAGAGTAAATATTTATTCTTTCCCTAAAATTCATAAATAAACAACCATCCAAATCTTGTTGCAAGGCACGAAAATGGCGGACTATGGAATGCCAGAATCCCAAGTGATCATCTCTATAAACAAAGAGAGACTTCACAAGCAAAGTACTGTTAGACAACTGTAACTCTTGCTTACCTGAAGAAACTTTAAATCTGATTTAACATCAGAGAGTGTATTGAGTAAACACTACACCGATATATAGTTCTTTTGTCTCCTTTCACCTAGACTAGCATTGGATCGTCAACTTGATCATTCACTCGAACCAAAATCTTACATCAACAAATTAAACAACCATATTAGATTGGTTTTGATTACATGCCTTTAGTCTTTTCATTCAAAAGTGCAATCACTTGGTAGATTGCACTTTTGAAATAACAATATACTAATCTATACAGAGATTATGAAAAACTCTATGATTCTATTTGATTAGGGTTATATTGCCACAATATTATATATTTCTTTAATTTATTATGTTTTATTGGATAGAATGCGTCGTCGAACTTAAATATAAATTGCATATCTAAGGAATATATCAAAGATCCAACTTATTCTTTTGCATCCCAATCTAATCTATGGTCGTATATATTTCTATTCCTTCTTTATGATTTTGGTTTTCTTTCCTGTGTTGATCTTTTCATAATTCTTCTTACTTGGAAAGACTCATTATTCTTAAATAATTATATTGAATTGGGATAGTAATAATTTTTTTTTAAATAATCTTTTGCAAAAATCTTAATAGGGTCAGAAGTGTTTTTTTTTTCAAAAATAAATTAAATAATTTTAAAAAATAAATCATTAATTAATTAAAAATAGAGGAAAATATATACATGTGTGTGTGTGAGTGGGAGAAACTAGAAAGTGAAGGGGATAAAGATGGAATTGATAGTGGAAAAGAATGTCACTTTAACTCTTGACCTTTTTTCTTTATACACTCAAAGATTCTCATTTGGGAGGAGAGAGGGAGCAAAATCTATTACTCACAATAGAGGGGTTCAATTAGGAAGGGTTTTGGACCAACCCGAATATATATAGGGTTTGAATATAGGTTGGGTTGTCGGGAGGTTTTTTTTATTTTTAATTATCATAGTGACGAGGAGTTAGAATTAAAATTAAATGGACGGATAAGATTAAGATACAAAATGGAAAAAAAATAATATGAAAATGTTAAATGAAGGGCTAGAATTAAAAGTAAATGGACGGTTGACATCGAAGATAAATATATTATTATTATTAAAAAAATACACATATAAGCATAAATTCGGGTTTGGTTGGGTTGACTCGATTAGGTTGAACCCAAGACCCAACCTAACCCGATCGGGTTGGAAAAATCACAACCGAACCCAACCCAAGGTCTCATCTAACTCAACCTAATCCTTATGGGGTTTGGGTTGGGTTCGTCGTATTGTCGGGTTTTTTTAACACCCCTAACTCCCAATATTCTCCCTCCATTTGTATTTGAAGATGTAATTAATTGAAATATTAGTTTATTTTATTCACTTTACATTATTTTAAATTAATGTTGTTAATATATAAATAACGGTTAGAGGTGAAATAAGTCATACACGTGGCCCTCTGGCCTGAAGACACGTGTCTGGGCCGTCATAGCTCGGTTATGTCAAGGATAAAGAGGAATTAGCAAACGTACTAAAGAGTAGAACTCAGCTCGAATTCGACCTGAGAAAAGGATTCTATTAGCAGAAGATCTCCTGACAATCGGCAGAATTTTAATTGAATGACAAATACAGAAGTTGCCACAGTAGAGTGACACTCCTCAATGTTCCCAGCAGAAGGTAGAGTCTCACATTCTCAAAGATACACTCTTTTGTATTTATTCAAGCTCGACTCGACATTAGTCCAGATTAAGTACTAATTTAAGTTTTTGAGTGTACGTAGTCGAGCACTACATTAATGCAATGTTCGATCTACGGATTTTCAATCATACTCACATAAATTCATCTCAAATCTATATCACGCCAGCCAGAATCGCACATCAATGAGTGTCTTGTAAAAGATGTCTCTTGGTCGTGGACTAATTTTTTGTTTCCCTTTTAAATGTCAAGATAAGGACTAATACGAACCAAGGACATAGCACACTTATGTGCGCATCAAAATTTCTCAAAAAATAAATACACTACTCGGAGAAAAGGACATATCATATTACATCAATCAAGTAGGTGTTCAAATCAACCAAATCGAATCATTTGGTTGGTTCAAAATTTTCATTAAAAAAAATCAATTTCAACCTTGATTTTTATTTCTTAAATTGATAAGTAGATGTTGCATTAGTCTTAATAAAGTTATAATGATTCTCTTAAAACTCACTAAGTTTAGGGTCAAAGACATTCTATTTTTTCACATTTTATTTTATTTTCTCACAATTAAAATTAATAAAATTATATTTAAAGTCAATTATATCACAAGAAAGATTAAATAGATTAGTAATGTTCTCTATTGAAAAGAATATATTAATAAACTTAGATTATAAAATTTAATTTATAATTTTACATCCAAAAAAAGTAATAAAAATAAATTTTAGATTATATTAATATTCTATATTAAGTTCTCCTACTATAATTTTACTTTGAACTCGTATCATCTTGAGCCGCCCTTGAATATGAAGAAGATAATTTGAGGTAAAATTAATTAGCTGTTAAAAAGAAAGAGAAAAAGAAAAATAAAACTTTTTTTTTTTTGAGAAGTATAGAAAATAGAACCTTTTTGTATATAAAGCCGTTAAGAAAATAAATTCAAAATATAAGAAATATGTTTGCCAACCACCTAGAATTGGCCAAGTGACTCTGGAAATGGATGCATTTAAGTCATTATCATTGACAAATTTGACTTAGCTAAACATTACTAAGTTAAAAGAAATTCAAATTTCTCAGGTTTATTTTAGGTACAGTTTCGGTTCATTTTATCTTTTTACGTTTAAAATATTCATTTTGGTCCATATACTTTTAAAGAGTTTCTATTATTTGTAAAATTTTGAAAATAAAGATCAAAATGATCCCTTTTAAAAAGTACAGAGACCAAAACAAACATTTTTAAAATACGATGACTAAAATGAGTCAAAGTGACAAAAAACGACCGAAATAAATGTAATAAAAGTAAATGGACTAAAATGCATTGAAATTGAAAGTATAGGAAGCAAAGTAGTATTATAACTTTTATTTTTCTACATGATTCAAACACGTACTCTACATAAATACAATCTTTCTTAATTTTGAACAAATTCAAAATCTTTAAATTTTTGGACCCAGTGTCTTTTTTTTTTTTCTCTTTGACAAAAGAAATTAAGTACATAATGCATTATGTTTAGAGTAAATAATTATAACTTGATAGAAACAAAATCAAAGTGGGAAAAAATGAGAATAATCTTATCTTACAATTTCTATGATGATATAGGTGTAGAATATGAATATTTAGACATGAGGTAGGACCATATCCCAACAAGGACATAAAACACAAAATACAAAACAAACAAAAAAGACAACCTTTTTTCTTGTCAAGTCCATGTCTAAGCTTTTGATCAACACAAGGTTAAATATAAATTTTAACTTCTAATATTTTAGAGTTTTTCGCTATAGTTTCTGGATTTAAATACTAATTTAGTTCTCTCTCTCTCTCTCTCGTTTTTTGGTTCATCTCAGTTTTTTAACCTTTGAAACACTTGATCGGTGTAGTTTCAATTTTATTGTATTTTCAAAACGTTTATTTTAATTATTGTATTTTTTAAAAAAGAGGTGATTTTGATCTCTATTTATAAAATTTTAACATAAATTATAGACAAGTGTTAAAGTAATAGAGGTAATAGTATTGAGGATTTTTTTTAATAATGTTTTATTACAAACTTATTTCAAATATATATCAACCCGCAAACTATTTCTAAAAATAATGCTTGGATAATTATAGTTCGGTCTCTTGAAGAGACGATTTATGTCACATTACAATTTCCGTTGCATGACGCCTTGCTGGTGTTATGTACTTTTTTTTTTTTTTAATTCTAGTATGTCGTCTCTCTCATATGTCAAAATTTTATTAATATACCACTCTGGTACAGTAGTTGTATGTTTGCTTTGTAATCTACATGCATGGGGTTTAAGTCTCTATTCTGTCACTTTTTCCTTTCTTTTTATTCAATAAAATGTAATATTGAAACTTGTTAAGAGACGACATGTCAGAATTAAAAGGAAAAAAAAACATACGGCGCCAGCAAGACACCATGCAACTCGAAAATTGTGATGTGGCATAAGAGACGACCTATAATTTTCCAAGCATTATTCTTGAAAATAGTTTGGAGGTTGATATATATTTGTAATAAGCTCATAATAAAGCATTATTAAAAAAAATCCTAGTATTCACCTATTAAATACAAAATTATCTAGGTTTGTTCCTAAACTTTCTTAGTATTTATTTTTGCCTCTAAAGTTTTAGGTTTATTTTATTTTGGCTTTGAATTTTAATAAAATTACCATTTTTGTTCTCAATATTATTTTGCTGTTAAATTATTCAGTAGATAAAATAACCTGGTTTTGAATTCATTGACGTAAACATGCATTGGAACCCTATAAAGTAACTATGACAAGTATTTGGTGGAAACATATTAAATAAAAAATATAATAGTAAAAAATAAAATTATTATTTTTTTAAGCTGAAAATCAAAATTGACAAGGTACGAAAATAGTTATTCGTTTAAGTTTAATAATTAAAATAAATATTTTAAAAGTTAAGTATATGAATAAAAATCACATTAAGACACTAAACTAAAAATATATATATATATGTTATAGTTGTACTAATATATATATATATATATATATATAAAGAAAAATATGATAACCAAAACGATTAAAAAGAAAAGCGTAGAAACTATATATTATATATAGGTTTAAATACTGTTCTGGTCTTTATAATTTTGATTTTGGTTCATTTTAGTTCAGGTTACTTTTAAAACGTGTCCATGTGGTCCCACTACATTTAAAAAGTGACAATTTTGATCTTTTTATTTCCTTTTTTATCTCATTTCTCTCAATCACAATTTTAACACGTTTGAAATGTAGCCACAAATTTGAATTAAAGGATTTTCATCGCGTTTAAAATTCATGTTAAAAGTTTACAAATAGAAATTAAATTGACCAATTTTTAAAAGTATGGAACCAAAATAGACGTTTTGAAGGTGTAAGGACTAAAATAAATACAGAACCAAAATAAACTTTTTAAAAATACAATAACCAAATTAAACAAAGTTAAAAGATACCGAAATAGTATTTGAACCTATATATATACATACATACATATACCCATTTTTCTTTTCTTTTATTTAATTTTATTTCCTACCAAAAACAGTCATCGTGAGAGAGGATGGCTTAGGTAATGTTGAAATGGACATCATTCTTATCCAAATCCATCCCCTCTTTTTCTTTAGAATCAAATCTTAACACAATTCAAATTCATTATTATTATAAAAAAAAAACTATATGTCACCAAAATCATAAATTGTTGGTATCAAATTTACAAATATGAAATTAATTAATTAAATTAGTGTCTAGTAACAACATTGAAATGATGGTGTGGTGGAATATTTGCAAGATATTACTTTGTAAAGAAAAAGAAAAGGTGTGATTCTCATTCTTTTTTTCCTTTTAATAATGAACATGAGGTACGATTTCACTAAAGAATATGTTCCAATTTGTGAAAAAAAAAAGAAAAAAGTTCATTATTTACTAATTGGCGCATATACATATTCCTAAAGACTGCCATAAAGTTGAAAACATGAATCTAATAATTCTTTTTTATTTAATCCTTGGAATTAGGTTAAATTATAAACTTAAAGAATCATAAATTTTGTTGGATAGTATTTTTAAATAGTGATTAAGTGTTTCTATGTTATATTATATGTTTCGTTAAATAATATAAATAACTATCGTCGAGAGTCCATTTAATTAGTCTTAAAAATAAATAAACGAAATAGTTATTTCTCTTTAGAGCTTAACGAAAAAGTTTAATGAAAGCTCCCTTTTTTTCTTTTGCAAAATCGACAAGTATTTATTACTTTTCTAGTCACTTCACAACCCATAAAGTCTCAATAAGTCTCAATACGTCCCTTATAATTCAAAGAGAGCATAAAACTTGAGGCTAAAATTTGAATTGCTTATCTCCTATGGCGAGTCTCCTGATCAAGGTGTAATGTTCCGACACTTTTTTATTAGAACAATGATTCTAAAGTTAAATCATAATATATATTAGTAATACTTTAATAAGATTGTAGAAGATGTAAACTCTATTCAATAAATCAACCTTATCCACCAGAGAAAGTTTCTTATACGCTATTCAGTTGATAGTCTTTACAAGATTCTTAAAGTTATGATGTGAGTCACCAAGAATCAAAACATTACAAATAATAAAGGCAAATGGCCTATAAAAGTACTCGTTTTATTAACGAAAAATTGACTATACATCGTAACGTTATCCAATGAAATGATTCTATACTATATATACAACCAAATAGCGGATAAATTTCTCAACATATCTTCCATTTTTCAGCACATTGGAGCTCACAAAGCCTTCAAATCTTTGTAGAACAAGGAGTTGAAATGGAAGCAAATAGCCGAAAGCGCAAAGGGTTCATGAAAGGGAAGTTGATGCCTTTGTACAAGCAATATAGTGGGAGCAAGACGAAACAAAGTGGTTTGGTTGGCTATGTCTTCCATCGGGACTATACTATTTCTCAACACAAAGTTTCTTTTCTAGTTCAAGAGACGAGTGTCGGACGGGATACAACTGGAGCGACTCGTGACTCGTTGAGTCAGTTCGATAACCCATATGGAATTGCCCCGGATGAAGGCGTCAACCTCAAGGCTGCAAACTATATTTCTTCAACTCTAGCGCGATTCAAGCTTGAACTAGTCAACGCTGATAGAGCTATCTCCACTTCTAGCCCGCAAGGAGATGTAATGACTTGTTAACTAACGTTAGTCTATCTTTGTGCTCGTATTATTATTCTAAGTAATGTTTTAGTCGATGCTCAAATAGTCAGGTATATTGCCTCTCATCTTATAAATGGTACGTTTAGATCTCTTGCTCTAGATTTATATTGTCATAATGTCTAAGAGGTGCAAGCACCTCAATTTAAATAAAAGGCATGTACAAAAATCATAAAAAGGCATTTTGATTTGCACAGAGAACACTCTAACCCAAATAATAACAAACCTAGCACAAATTAAAAAGAATTTACAAATATGACACAATTTTAGAAAAAAAAATCATTCAACACATTATCTATCAGTATGGACGTTTATTATATCACTAATAGATGTGTGATAGAAACTATAAGTGAGACACCCAATAAACGTGTGATGGACCTTTAATTTATCAATGATAAAACGCTTAAGACCTATTAGTGATAGATGTCTGTCCTACAAAATTGACATACTTATAAATAACCTGATTTCTTGCACTATATTTACAAATATAGCAAAACTATTTGTCATCCATTATAATTCAATCATAAAAATATAAATAAACGTTGCTATACATAAACACTTCAAATGCTAAAAAATTATATAAAAAAAAATCTCAAAAGCACTTAAAATACTTTGTAGGGCCTTTTTTTACTTGAGTGATTGTCAAATAAACCCATAAAACAAAACATCAAAATCTTGCGAATCATACAAAATTATAAATCTAACATATCTATGTGACCATGAATTTCACGTTACGGGTAAATTGAAATTTCCATTAGTATTAAAAAATGATAAAATATATGACAAAATATGAAATATATCAATAAAATATCACTAATATAGATATAATATTAATATTGATCCACCTGAACATAGCCAACTCATTACCTATCTATGAACAAAATATCGTGAATTTGAATCTAAGCTCTACATGTTGTACTAAAGAAAAAAAAAGATATAATAGTAATATTAATCCTTTTTAACTTATTTAAAACCGATAATTTGGTGAAATACTTATTTGTTAAATTTAAACATTTGCGGGGAACATTTTTTTCAAGTACAAAAATTGTTAGTTCTAAAGAGTGTTCTTCAAACTAATTACAAACTTGACTCAAAAAAATAATAATAAATAAAATTTACAAACTTAAATTTTTTGTGTGAGAGAAAATAGAAAATAATTATAAATAAAATTTACAAACTTAAATTTTTTGTGTGAGAGAAAATAGCCACATTTTTTTGAAGTACAAAATTGTTAGTTCTAAAGAGTGTTCTTCAAACTCTTTACAAACTTGACTCAAAAAAAATAAAAAAATAAGAATAAATAAAATTTACAAACTTAAATTTTTTGTGTGAGAGAAAATAGAAAATAATAATAAATAAAATTTACAAACTTAAAACTGAGTGTGAGAGAAAATAGTAAAAACCTAGAAAATAGTAAAAGCCGTCGACAGCAGGGTTCGAAACTGCGCAGGCGAAGCCCAACAGATTTCAAGTCTGTCTCCTTAAATCACTCGGACATATCGACACTTTTGTGACAAATTTTGATTCACAATAACTAATATTAAATTATAAACGTTGACTGTTCTTCTTCTTCGTATTTGGTATTTGTTTTGGTTTTGTTCGGCGTTTTTATTGAACCAACAAAGACGAAAGGAAAATTTTGAGCAGCAGCAGCAGAACAATGGACGCCATTGATTCCGTCTTCGATCCTCTCCGGGAGTTCGCCAAGGACAGCGTACGTCTCGTCAAGCGCTGTCACAAGCCCGATCGCAAAGGTTTCCTTCAAATCCGAATCCCCTTTCTTTGACTTTTCTTGTTTTTTCCCTTTTTCTAATCTGAAAACCAATTCGCTTCTATTTCGGGAGAGCTGCAGAGTTCACGAAGGTGGCCGTTCGTACAGCAATCGGCTTCGTTGTGATGGGATTCGTCGGCTTCTTCGTCAAGCTCATCTTTATCCCCATCAATAACATCATCGTCGGATCTGGTTAGGTGAGGATCTTTAAGCCGAGAAACGAATTGGATACTTGATTGTTTCTTCGATAGAATAAATTTGGCTTGATATATGTTGAATTTCTGTGTCTAATCTTACTCTGTAGGGGATTTTGTTTCTAAACCCTAAAGAGAAGGGCCGGGGGAAATTTTTTGCTAGCCAGTTTAGCCTATGATTCTATGAATTACCCGAGCTGGCCATTGATGGCTTGATTGAGTCTCCTTGATTCTGCTTGGCTTTCTTGTTTCAAACAAAATTATATCCTTAGAGCTGTCCCTCGCCATTTCAGACAATATACTGTGTCAATGATGTAGGATGCATGGAACTAATCTTCTCAAAAGTTTACTTTACAGCCATAAGAAGAAAAGACGTCTAATCTTATAAGTTATACCTCACTCAAGAGTTGAGACCAAACTTGGGGAACAAAATTTGGTATCCCATATCAAGTCTTACAGATGATTGCATGTTGTTGGCTCTTTAGGAACATTTTCTTGCTGGGTGATTTTCCATTGACCATTAGATTGGGTTCTTTCATGATTCCTAGCATATTTTGTATATTTGGAGCTGGTTTTTGAGTGGGTGAAGCTGCTCAAATTAATGGGATAAGTCATGAGCATAATACAGGAGGTGGACCACTATAATACGAGTAGATCTTCCTTGTGAATTATGATCATTCATCAAGATCCTACCCTATTCTTAGAATGTAGAAAAGATAGAGGAAACCAGTTCCTGCTGGGAGAATCATTTTGCTGCACAAGCTGACCATTCCATAAGCATATAGTTAGAGGGACAAATACAGGAGGATAGGTTTCTTTTTGGCATTTTTTCCCCTTAAGGAATAGTGTATAGTGTTTGGAGAGACCAGGGAGCGCTCGAGTTCTCCTTGACTTGTAGTTACTTCTTTGAACATAAATAATAGAATCGAGATTCTATCATTAGCATTCTCCTTTACGTCGGCATGATTTTATTCTGTTTGCACTCTTAAAGAACAGCTACATGTAATAAATGTGTGATTGTTGCTTGAATTGGACGACATTAGTTCTGAAGTTATCTTGACATAAAGCTTTAACTTTCCCGACAATCATTCACCACCTGTTGGTTCTGTTTTGCAGACAACTGAGGCCACAAAAAGGGAAGGCTCCAAACAGGACTCTTCATCAGCTGTTTCAATTCGCACTAATGTTTTTAAGAATTTAAAGTTTAAATTTATTTGCTGGATAGGAATTACAGACTCAATGAAATGGCTATAGTGAACTGCTAGTCTCGTCTCTTTAGTACTCCAATGTGCTTGCTTGTGTTTACTGTTTATCAATGTCTGCTTGCTGAAAATGAGTTACTTTAGAGTAAAAGAAACGATTTTGGCTTTATAAGATGAGTGCTGTCCTCTCCATTGGTATCTATGACAATTACATTTGCTCCCCTTTCCCCTATCAAGCTTTCATGATCAGAAAATTAAACTAAAGATGCAGCCATGGAACCATGATATTTTCAGTAGGTTCGATCATCGGGAAGTAGAACATAAAGAAGGTGCGGCCGTGAACTTGAATGCACATGATATTTTTGTATGGTAGCTATGTTTCATGTTGCATGCCATTTTGTCAAATTCTAACTTGCTTATGGACTAAATAGAGGACACACCCCTCCTTTCAACTATCTCTTGCATCTCTTCTGATGATAAAATTGATGCCATACCATCAAACTCAGCACTCTCCAGCTGCTGGTGTAACTGCATGAACACAAACCGATACAATGATCGATAAATACACAAACGTTCAATAAGTTGAAAAGCAACCTAATCGGATTACATATTGTTCGTTGTTTAGTTCTCATTACGCTCATAGTAAGCAAAGAGCCCCCTGGGAATAGAGAAATCTGCAAACCTTCTCGAGAATGGCGCATTGATCGTCCGAGTGAAGTTTGCGCATGTGTTTCAGCATCTCCAGTTGCTGTAGACGACGTGCATTAAATTTTCGAGCACATAAATCCGTATTCAGAAGAATTCACTTCAATAAGTATGGGGAAAAAGTTGCCTCCTCACCTTTTCATGTAGTTGTTGTTGACTATGCATTTTTTCAGCAAACTCATCTGGTTCAAGCTCTGCTTCATCACATGCCATCTCTTCCCTATCATTTAAATGATAGATACAGAGGATAATTTCATTTAATTCATGAGCTAGAGTTCTAGGAGAAGAACAAGAATATATAAAAAAAAACATGTTCGGAACAAATCAAAAGGACGAATACAAAACGGGCAAACGAAAATACATTTTCTTGTAAAGATGAGTTATAACTTCAAATTTTAACCTCATATGATGAGTTTAAAGACAGTCTTCAACTTTGTGCACCTATGGTTTATTATCATTTTAGGAGGCCGGAGAGGTATTATCAAAAATAGACAGACAACTTACATTGCGATGAACTTGTAGAAATGAACCATCAACTCCTGATCGTTCTCATAAAATGAATTCACTTTCCCTAGGCACGACATACCAAATTGTGCATCTGTAGAACAAACAAAGATCAACATAAGCATAAATAATTAACTATTTGGATGATGAAATATGGCATGAGCAATCAAGGTAATAGCACAACACTCCCGTAGAGGAAGTTTTAGATTTGTTTCAATCAAAATCGTTGTGTCAAAGGCTCCGTTGGAGAACGATCTTGTTTTAGACTTTTAAAACTCCAATGTCCTAATCTTTTTCAAGAATAAACTTGCCAATGAACAAGCGTTGTTGAACAGAAAACGAAAAACCAAATAGTTAGCAAACATGTTCAAGATTTACGTACAACAAAGGAATATTGAACCTCTACCAGATAAGCAGTTGTCATATTCAAATGGGAAAGTATAAGCCCAACAGACATTGCGAAGAAGAAAAAAAATTTCATAGTTTCAAGGAAAATGACAAATGAATTATAGACAAAATTAACAAAACAGCAATGTACTAGAAAAGACTGACCAACCCCCATTTCAGAAAAAATCTCTTCTTGTATTGCAGTTGTCACGGCAACAGCTTCCTGCAGAATGCAACCAAAAAAACTTCAAGAATAAGAACAAACACAGTAATAAATAAGGTACCAAACAACTTGTCATCTACAGATTAATTACTTTTCTGCTCCACAGTTCAATCAGAAACACCCTACTTTACTAATAAACTCTTGTGGTTCATAAAACCCAGAACTAAATAATAAATCTTTCTGGTTTGCGTCGCCTCACCCACCGGTTTAACTTATGACATCAACGACTTGTTTTTCGACCTTAGTCGCTTATGTCCTACTTGTGACCCACACCTCTTGGTTCTTATTTGTTCAGGGAGGGGGAAGCGATATAGTTATTCCCTCTTGAAACTCGTTGGGGCCTAGCACATTGTGAAAATGCTAACGCGACAGGAAATTCTAATAACCAAACAAGAGAAGTAATTCTACATTGAACAGATGGCCAACCTACAATAAGACCACCGTTCTAGCTCGACAATAGAACAAAATCAAAGTAGCTGATGGAGTTGGTAGGGAGGTTAAAACGACATTTCTCACAAACCCAATTAGATATTAAACAAGCCAAGTTGTCTGACCATCAAATGTTTTTGTTTCGCGACAAAAGGGTGAAGGATTTGAACATCCAACCAGATTTCTTGACCAACAATGTCAGCAAAACAAACAATCAAATGTTATAGTATTAGAAGTTGTGCCGTGAAATTAGTCGAGCATCTTAGAGGTGCCCAAACACACCCATATAAAAAAATAAAAAAAAGTAAAACAAAACAAAAAAACCCGATTTTTCAGACTTTTTATACAGCTTGATGAGTGAAACCTATCCACACAACAGATTCCAAGGGAAAAAGAATCATACATACGGCATACCCCATTTGATTCTGTTCAAAACATCTCAAGGAAACACCATTGAAGTAGTAAAGGAGTCAGAAAAAGATTCACCTGTTTATCATCCCTAACGGCGGCCGCAATCCTCTTCTTCACATCTGCAAGAATGGGAGCAGAAATAACGGTCAATTGGGGGAAAATTGGGAGAAAGAAAGGAAGGGGATAGTAATATGAGAACCAGAGAGGGAGGTGAGGGCGGAGAAGCGAGAGAAGAGATGGAACAACTGAGCCCTAGAGAGCATGGCCGGAGAATGAGAGGTGGAAATCGCACCACGAACGATGAAGATGATGCTTGTTTCGCGCGCCAAATCGATGAGGCTCTGTTCTAGATTCTTAGCCCCAAAATTTCACCATCGATTGGAATTTTCGCCATTAATGCTCTTTGCTCAGCCTCAGCTCAAAAAGAGAAGGGAGTTGAAGAATTTAATTTGTACATTTCTCTGGAACTACGCTTCAGTACACAAACATGTGCAAGTTTTGAATTCTGTTAGGATGATTAGACTTGTTTTTGGCTTTGTTAAAAAATATTTCTGTTCCGTTGAAGTAACAATATAACTTTTTTTAAACAAATCAAAAGCCATTTAGTTTCGAACGACCGTGTAACAATTTAATCTCTAAATTGCTGTTTAGTTATTATAAAGATGTAATCTTATTTGATCAAAATCTACACTCAACCCTCAATTTTGATGAGATTTTTCAACTAAATTCTTACAGATTTTAAAACACACCTAAATTATTATGTACTAAAATTTAGACGTAAATCTTTGTTTTGATTCTTAAATTTTCGAGTTTGTTGTACTTTTTTATCAATTAAAATGTTTATTTCCATCAAACGTCATTAAATACTATTTTGGTCCTTCCTGAATTATCTTTTTACCTAATAGCAAACATCTTTTTACCTAATATTTACTTATCCAGTTCATGCTCTCAATCCGTGAAACTTGAATACATAATCACATTAGTACATAAGTACACATACTCAGAAGCTATGGCTATCTTTTTTAAAAAATTAAAATATATTTTTTTTTCTTTTTTTTCTATAGATTTTTTTAAAAGTAAAATTACATTATAGACAAAAAAAATAGTTATTTTTAAGAGTTTCTGAATTAAAATATACATTTAAAAACTTTATAGATTAAAACCGAACAAACTTGATAATAATTGATTATCAAATTCAAGTTGATCTCTAATCTAAAACGAGGTTAAATTTGTGCTATATTTAAAAAAAATGAAAATTTTAATAAACTTTTAAAATTTCTATTTTTATGGGACCAAATAATTACCTTTGAAATCAACGGACGCATAATTTGTAAATAACATTAAGAATCAGTAGTAAGATCAACTGTAATCAAAAAACAAAGTAAGATCAAGAATTCATTAGAAATTCTTTAAAATGTAGAAATTAAATGAATTAATTACAAGGCTATACGGAAAAAACTTGTAATTTAATTATTTAAAAAATATATTGAAATTATTTGGGATCCGTTTTTTTTCAAGCAATCAATTACATAAAAATTAAATATTTAATATAAAATTTTATTTTCATAGTTAGAATTTTTTAACTTTTCTAATAAAACTTTTTTAAATATTTTTATCAATAAAAAACATAACAAGGAAAAAAAAAATATTTACCAAACCCGATTAGATTTTTTTAATTGAAAAAAGAAATGAAACAATGAATAACAT